TTAACTTTAAACATACTATGAACTATGAATACATTGATGAATTTACTTTTCAAAATTGTTCTACAAATGTAGCGTTTACTGTGTAAATTTTTCATTTCTGATCACGTAGCAATCGTTTGCTATGTTTATGAGTCTAACATGAACTCTAGTTGCGTGAAATTGCGTGAGATGTTTTAATAAGAACAAGAGGTCCCGCAGTAGTCGAAATTCGACTATAATAATTAATTGGAATTGTAAGTTTGTACACTATTATGATTGTATTTTATACTTCTATAATCACAAATTTCGCCAAGGCGACACTATAAAAAAATATTAATAATGTCAAGCAATATTTAATCTATTCTCAATTTGACCACAGACGTCATGAACAAAGGTTTGACAATAAATAGTATGCATGCGTGTGTGCGTCAAATACATGGTATGTAGTGTGTATGATGTTTTCTTTATTGATTTAATGCATCTTTTATGCATTATTTAAAAAAACTATTAACATTGTGCACTTCTTCTCTATATTCTCTATAAGTGTGCAAAATTTCATATTCCTCCGTCAGCGCAATTTTCGCAAAAAGTTTTTCACTGGGGATGAAGGGCGGGGCATGTCGGAGTCGAACCGACTAAAACCTCCTGTCTCTCAACAACCAACGTCCAAACCTCGCATGAGACAGAACTCATGACAAGGCAAAGGGGGGAAAGTGAAGCGTTTAGTGCGGAGCACATCTCTCCCATCACCCTCCCCCTCGGGACGCCGGACTGGCAGTCGTCGGCGCCACGACCACCAGCCCTCTCGGTCGGCAGGCTATCCGAAGCCCGCCTAGATGGCGCCGGTTAGAATGGTCTATCCTACGGAATACCCCGCTGGGTCAGAACCAGCGTGGGTTGAGGATAGCCGGCCTTCCATCACCCGGATGCTCATGCATAAAACGCGTGCAGAGCAGCTTGCACGTCGTCTTCTTAGGCCCCCTTCNTCTGACCAATCAACGTGTAGGCGCTTATCGCGTGACATTGCTCGTATCCGATTGGTCCGCGTAATGAGTACAGTTTCTCGAGATAGCGTTTCAACAATAGTAATTTAGTTCATAGTATTGTTTTTTTCTTCTTCATAATGCCGTAATTTATTATTATAACTTAAAAAAAAATTACAATTCCTTCACTAATTAATCGAAACGAACTTCGTTCCATCCGGGTGTCCCTTGACACCTCTGAAGTTTTGTTAGGTAGGTATTCGAATCTGGACACACGAAAAATGCGGCCCGTTGCCTGCATTTACGGGTTCTATAGTAATGATGATAACATGTCAAATGGATAGTGTCCGATAATGGATGCGTGGTGCGTTTGGGCAGTATATATTCGAGGTAGAAGTGATTCTTAGAGGATTCAATGCTAATCTGTAAGACTGGTTGAGTTCCAGGTCTGCCGTCTGCCGCGTCAGTTTGTCTATGATTTCGCCTCCCTGAACAGAGCGCGACCATAGGCCCATAAAAATTTTGTGGTTTTTTTTTGTGGAATTGATTCTATCAGGTACCGAACATACCGTGTTATTTTATACAATAAAAACATTGCGAAGCAGAGTGGATTTTTTCCTTGGAATTTTACATCTTCCTATGATCATTTGAGAATCGCAAAATTATTGTAAGTATAGAAAATTTTGGAAGGAAAAGTCAAATTATTAACTCAATGTTAGGAGTCCTTAACAAAGCAAAGCGGTAGAGAAAGCCGTATCAAATTGTTACGCTTTTTAGAGCACAAATCGCCCATCCTAAGGCTTTTTAATTACGTTACGTACGGATATCACAAAGGGAATGCGGTTCCGTAATATTGCCGCGAATCCGACATTGGGATTTAAGTATCAATTGTAATGCTATCACGGATGTCCTGTTCTTAAAACCGGTACGTATGCAGCAGAAAATATAGTCAAATTAAAATCTATAATCCTACAGTACAGTATGGTATCTACAATACTGTTTGTAATACAGGTGAGCTGAGAATTTGCTTTACCGACCACCAGCTTTTGGAGTTTCGAATGCAAGAAAGTAGGCTCGTTTATGGGCATGTTGCAAATAATTAAAGCAGACAATAGCAGAGTGTGAATATCACGTTACGTTATTTGGGGTACGAATTAACGAGAAAAGTGAACGCTGGCTTATACGAGTATTACTAAGATAAAAGTAGGAAGGTCGTCATGTTGTTTGAGAAGCTAATCGCGTGGATGTTTATGAAAGATGCGTGTTATTTTGTAAGCTTCTTTTAGTTTGTACTAAGAAAACACATTTAAGCAAAAATGCATAACAAAGTTTAAATTGAAAACCTTTTTGTCCTTGTAATGTGTCTGTCACGAGCAACGAAATTTTTGTTTATAATTATTTTAATAAATGATTTATTTTTATATATTAAAATGATTACGATTTCTCTTAGGAAATTGAAATTGATATGTGAAAAAAATATAACATATAGAGGAGATTAAGAATATCTGAAGCTGCATTTCAGCGTTCGTTTTTTCCATCTCCTCATCAATAAGGCTTTCAAAAGGCCTCATCATTTTTTTTGTCTGTATTGCCTTTTTAACTTTAAACATACTATGAACTATGAATACATTGATGAATTTACTTTTCAAAATTGTTCTACAAATGTAGCTGTTGCTGTGTAAAATTTTCATTTCTGATCACGTAGCAATCGTTTGCTATGTTTATGAGTCTAACATGAACTCTAGTTGCGTGAAATTGCGTGAGATGTTTTAATAAGAATTAACTTAAGGATTTTGTTGTACTTTCGACTGAATAAATTTCATTCATATAATAAGATTATTTCTTTTGGCTACGATCGATATACCCTACTACTAAATTAAAGAGTTAACAGTAAAGCATACATTGAAAAACATTTGATAATGACAAATTTGTTACAGTACATAAAGAAGATACAAGGCTGACACTTAAGTCGATTGCTTCTGATAAAGTTAGAAACAGTGGGCCTTATGAACTGGCCCCATAACATTTGTAACAAACCTTGCATAACTTGATTAAATTAAATGCAGCCGTCCAACCCATCGCTTGCGACGAAGGGCTTGGCGACTAAATTAATCCACAGACACAGCCCACTGAGTTTCTTGCGGGATCTTCTCAGTAGGTCGCGTTTCCGATCCGGTGGTAGAGATTCTGCGAAGCATGGCTTTTGCTAGGGCTCGTGTAACAACAACTTCAGGTTTGAGCCCCGCGAGCTCACCTACTAGTTCGGTGAATCTAGAATAATCCCTCGAGGTTAGTAGAATGAGTAGAAAAAAATAATTAAATTCAGAGTGAAGTAATATTATACATTAGCGTATGTCCGGTGTATATCCATCACTCTCTAACGCCAGTATAGTACGGGAATGAGCAGCAGTTTGCTGGGCCTAGTGTAGTAAAAAGTATCTTACGGTTTGTGTCGTAGTCTGAACGACTGTGATTAACGAGAAGTGTTTTTCATTTGTGCTTTTTTCGAAGTAATTGTTTGATCAAGATTCTTCATTAAACGTGTTTTACTCGAGAGTCAATTTTGTAAATTAACTTTTTATTTGTGCTGTAGTCAAATTAAATTCATCAAAACCAAATTAGGCTAAGTCAATGGCTCCGTTGTTACCGATTGTTTTTTATACAGGAATAAGCCTATGGACATCATAATGTGAATATCGCGGTGCATGCTACGTCATGACGTCGTGATTTAAATTGCAAAATCTTAGTGGAATATGTTATTGCAAAATCATACTGGAATCATCTAAGTGTAACACCTCATTAATATGCTACGGCCAGATAGCTTCGCGTGCGGGCCCTCTAAGACGAGGCCATCTCTCGGGGCGGGGTGGCGCTGGCGGTGTCTCTTGACATCGCCAACGCATTTAAAATTCTGCCTGGGCAGTGCCCTCCAATGCCCTTCCAGTGCCCCTCTACCTCCGCCGGTTGGTTGGCTCCTATTTAGAATTCAGGTCGGTCGAATGTACCGGGTTCGGTGTGGGGCGGCGCGCTTTGCACGCTCGCCCGTAATAGGAAACCGGGTGATGGTAGACCACGTTCCCAAGAGCGCTCCGGGGAAAGTGCAACGCAGCGACACCAAGGCGGGCTCTCGGCCCGCCGACCTAGCGAACCGGCGGTAGTCTTGCCGGCGTCTGTGGGGCGGCGGGATGGATGTAATATGCTCTGCGTCAACCCTGTCCCGCTGTCTCAATAGCCCCGACTCGGCTCCGAACCGGTCCGGGGTAGGGCGCCAGCTGTGAGCGGCAGAAGTTTTTAGTGAGGTTCAACTCCTACATATCTCACGATGTGGAAAAAAAACGGCCAGATAACAACCCTCACTAAACGACCAGGACCCTAGATGTAATTAAAAACGGAGTTACATAGAGTGTAATTAAAAACTAGTAGCTTACAGATTAGGATAAAATTTGTATATACGTCCGTGGCCTATTAGGTATAAAGCTACTGCCTCAAGGTGAGCCGTATCTGCATTTTTCCATGTGTAGTTTAAATAGCTTGTTCAAGGCAAAGTGCGCCGTCACATCTGTGAACCGTAACCAATAATAATGTTAGGTATATATAAAATTATTCTGTAAAGAGCTATGGGTTGACACGCTTCGCTTACAATTGCGTCCTTTCATTTTACATATGATAGATTTAGTTTTCGTATTACCATTTTTTTTGGACCCTGGCGTATTGCGTATCGGCTTCTCGTTCGGCTGTTCTAGTATACCTTTCCTTTTATTTCTATGTTGGTTACATCCCGAGAGTTGTATTAGATAAAGGATTTAGTTTTCTCGTGGGTGTCGTCGTTAAGTCGATTTAGGATCCTATTCTTTTTGTAATACGATATGTCAGTAGCATGCAGTCAATATCAATAATACACCCACAGCCACACACAAATCTTTCTATCCTATTTAAACGAAATCTTACGGTTGCAACTTGCATTTATTCACCATTAAAGTAGTTTTAGCTGCTTATAAATCACGAAAATTTAAAATGACACTTATTATTTCATTCCAGATTCATCCGGTCAAGAGTATTCATGGGTATATAATACAACAGGTCATGTTCGTAATTTCAAATTTCTGCCCATTGATCAGCCGCAGCCATTCCTAAGTCCCGCGAAAAAGTGCCAAGATGCAATCGAAAGCGAAGAGATAAAAGCCACAGAGTAAGGGCCAAGAGTCCCACGATGTTTTCTTTGGCTGAGGGTTGTGGGTGCGTTAGTTTTCGTGGCGGTCGACGTACTCGCTCCCAAGGAGATGATTCTTCATCATGCCGGAGCTCAGAAATAGAACAAGAGGTTCCCCAAAGATCGGGTAAAAGACTACTCAATGGCGAATGTACCATGAAAGCTTTGGTACCCTTCTTGAAATTTTGGAGAAGAGACGATGTTAGTATGACTAAAGCTGAAAGAAGTAAGTTTATTTTAATTTTTATTATCTAAAATGGGCATACGATTTCATAGCCTATATAGTTTTAAGCGTTAGCCGGAAAATTTTCATAACCTAAATACTGCTGGTAAAGACAGAATAGAAGTCTCAATTGAATTGGTACGATTTTTGTATTATTATTCAAACCGAACTTTCTTAGCGTATAGAGTTTCTATGAGAGCAAACTTCATATAAGAAACTATACAGCTACGTCAGCGTGGGTGTTAATGTCAAGGGTATTAAGGCATGTATAGTACCGACAGAGTACCCCGTAAGTCAAAGTCCGATACAGGAAGAGGACGCCGTCCGGCCTGCTCCACTTTTAGACGCCAAATTCTCATCCAACGATATAACAAATAACGTAGATGTCACACTGTTATCAGACTTATGCGGTGGCGGGATGATTGGGGGCAAAATGTGGCGAGTAAGCAGAACGCGCGATTTTTACTGCTGTGCGATTCTATGTTTTGCGACTTCACTTTCAAAGTATTCTATCTAAAGTCTGCGCTATGTTGACTGGAAACATGAAAAAAAATATCCAAATTACGAGAGTTTTTTTTACGTTCTTAACTCAACGAGTTTTGGGTTGAGGCGCTCTCGAACCAGTACATCTTTCAATTTACTTTGCGAATCCTTAGGATTGTCACAAATAATTACATTCTACAAGGGCCTAAGATAATTTAATTATCTACGGGTGTGGTGTTAGGGAAAACCAATTTGTGATTACCAATTTAAGTTAAAATCTATTTTACACAAACAGATTTGAAAGCCTTTAAGTTCAAGCTACAGTGCTACAAACCGTCAAATAGAATTTCGTTTGGTTTTCCTGTACACTTTGGCAGAATTGTATTCGAAGCCTATTGGCAGTGAAAATTGCGTGTTCCAAATTTCTCGAACTGGTTAAGCTCTTTAAGAAGAAATTGATTTAAATAGAAATTAATTTGTGACTAACAAAGGACAAAAAAGCTTATTAGACGGTGTGCAATCGTATCGTTATTTTTGGTTACATCATTCATTAAGATCTACAAAATTTCAAACTGGAAATCTTAATTTGATTCTTGGCTTCTCATGTAAGCTTGCATAAGATTCAGAGTTCGTATCGCACATAATGTTTCGTAATTTACTATTTGTCTGAAATAATCTAAATGACTCAATAATACATACTTTCATAATGTATGTACCTTAGGAAATTTTATATTTTTAGTTATTTAAAATTTACCTTCAATCTATGATGAACTACATCGTTCGTTTTGAAGTGAATGAATTATTTCAAAAGGTATCTGAATTCCGATATGCCTACGATTTCGGCAAGTACTGAAAACACGTATGTCAGTTCAATAAAGTATGAAAGTTTTTCTACCTTTCCACTAAGATATTTGTCTAGTGGTCACGGATTACAATGTTGTTTATTGTCGAAGAATCTAAGTATCATATTTTCTTTAACAATGTCTTAAGTTTATTACCGGGACCTAAGGTATAACGGGAAATGCATTTTTATATCTAGTGGCACGCTAGCCGACTAATGTTTACGATGTATATAACCTATATGTCCCCACTTGACCTACTTTGGGTTAATGTTTACTCCGAGTTCCTGGTATTACCAGCCTGTGTATTTATTTCGTTTCTGTCATCGATGTGTGGTGCTCGAGGTCACTACCACACAACATAAGGTTAAACGCATTTTCTGTTTGCTTACTTAGATTGTTCAATGTCATTCATCTATGACGATTTTTATCATTGTCCCTAGTAGTCTGTATTATAAGTTAAATTACAAAATTTCAAATGTTTAATACGGAACTGCTGTACGATACTTTAATAAAATATTACCATTCTTACAAAAAATTGTAGCATTGTTTTATTGTGCTCAAAGTTATATTCTCACAAATAGATTTGATAAATGTTGTCACAATATATAAGCTCTTTTATAAAAGGTATCTTAATACGAGCATTATATTTTGTTGCAAATGAATAGAATTGGGTTTCATTCAGATGAATAAACTCGTAACCGTAACGATTAATCTTGCACAATGAGTGACAGCGGTGTCGGTTTTCTCTAAGCATTAAAGAAACCAAAATTTGTATATTTTTTAATTATTCGAGATAAAAATACATTCTCTCTCATAATTAATTTCTTATACACATATACATAACTATTTACTTGTTTATAAATCTAAATAGGTTTAAGGAATAATGAAATTCTTCTAAAAAAATTCCCAGAAGCTTAAAAGTGTAGCATGTGTTTTTGAATACTATTTGTGTTTTGCTCGACTTAAATTTTGTTTGAACGGAGATCAGTATCCAAAGTGGGGATATAGTAGTTTTTTTTAAATGAATTACTTAGGTTTGCTCAACTTAGGATGAGTTGCGGATCGATATGGTTTTCATTATTAACTCACGAGCTATACGTCGAAACTTAACTATAAAACTATTTTCTATTGGATCAAGTTTAATTAACTTTGTTATTACACGATAGTTTGTTATATAGATATTATATAGCCTTCCTCAATAAATAATCTATCTAACACTGAAATATTTTTTCAAATCGGAGAGTAGGTCCTGAGATTATCGCGTTCAACCAAACAAACAAATAAACTTCAGCTTTATTATATTAGTATAGATGAACTAAAGTTAAATCTAGTTAGTCACAAATAAGAATATATATATTATAGCAAATAATAGCATAAGTGACTAGTCATATATTATATATTATAATAAATAAAGTAACTAATTTTCATGAAATACTTAGAATCATTAGAACTATAATAAATAATAATAAATAAATATTTACTAACAATCACGCCACGTTAACTGGTCCCGTGATAAGTTCGTAAAGAACTTGTGTTACAGGTACCAGATAACGGAAATAAATGTAAGATTTTTATTATACACATACATATATTTAATATTTCATATACATCCATAACCCTGGAAAAGACATTTATATTTATCATACAAATATCTTCCCTTGGCGGGATTCGAACCCGCGACCCCCTTATGTAGTGACAATGTCACTTACCACTACACCAGACGGCCGTTGTAATAAAGAATTTATGTATTCAAAATGTAATCTTAAATTCATTAAAGTCAGAATTGTGACATCTACTCGTACTACGAGTACGCTTGGGATCAATTTGTAGCGCCAAAGTGTAAAGTCAAGTGATAACGAGATTTTCCATTGTGCTCTTGAGTCAAAAGATCAAACAGTATTTCTACGTGCTTTGCGTTTGTATATATATAATGATATTGGGTACTCCAGAATAAATAAACAATAAAAGACTTAATTGCGTTTTCTGTTATGTGTATAATGAGAAAACAACATTTAAAGCCCTTAATTTAATAAAATTATTATTTTTAACCAACTGAACTTTCTTTTTACTGAATGTCAAACTTCACTGAATGACATATAAGAAAAATCCTTTTTATAAAACTAAAGAGTTTTAGACTATGAAGGTTTTTCTTTACATATACCTGTATATCGTTAAAATTTATTTTTTAAATTGTGATACGGTTCGCGAGATAACGCTAACTTGTGCCTTAAAAGTTTCCCTCATAAAACATTGAGAACAGAAATCGTTATAAGATTTAAAGATTATTTTTAATAAGTAATCAGTATTTTCACAGTACATAAAGTATTGGTAAAATATGTAAAGTTTTTATATCTTACTAGCTGACCCGGCAGACCACGTAGTGCCTCAATCGATAAAGAAAAGAGCTAAGCTTTTGTATAAAATAAACTTAAAACAAACAAAAGGAATCCATCCGACGGGGGACACATCAAAGGGAAAACAAAATTGTTATTCTTATTTAATTCTGAGCATTTTCATATTTATCTACCTTTTAAACCTTCTCTGGACCTCCACAAATAATTCAAGACCAAAATTAGCCAAATCGATCACGGCGTTCTCGAGTTTTAGCGAGACTAACGAACAGCAATTAATTTCTATATATGTAGATATATACAACATTTCGCCATTTTATACTACGTATTAAAGACACAAAACGATTTCAGCTATGAAAGCCGCCATTTTAATTCAGCAGTGGTACAGGCGTTATTTAGCGCGAATGGAAGTGAGAAGGCGTTATACCTGGACCATATTTCAGAACATTGAATATGCGGGCGAACATGATCAAGTGAAGGTAAAGGTTTTTTTTTATTCTATGTAAAATACCAAAACAGTTCACGACTCATCTGGTAAAGCGGTTGTCGGAGCACATAGATGCCTCGCGTCTTGAGAAATAAGGTCGAACTGAATTGGACATAACGAATATCCTTTCAATACGAAATTCATATTTGTTTCGTCGTAGCTATAAGCAGAGCTATCTTACCAATCAGCAACTAACAAAACCAAGCATTGAAGATACAGGGGGCCGAGGTGAAAAAATATGGTGGAATTATAATATATCTACTATGGAGGATGTTGGGGAAGTAATAACCCGTCGTCGTGGCCGACGGGGCCGACCCGAAGTCGTTGTGGCCTAAAGGATAAGACGTCCGGTGCATTCGTATGTAGCGATGCACCGGTGTTCGAATCCCGCAGGCGGGTACCAATTTTTCTAATGAAATACGTACTCAACAAATGTTCACGATTGATTTCCACGGTGAAGGAATAACATCGTGTAATAAAAATCAAACCCACAAAATTATAATTTGCGTAATCACTGGTGGTAGGACCTCTTGGGAGTCCGCACGGGTAGGTACCACCACACCGCCTATTTCCGCCGTGAAGCAGTAATGCGGTTCGGTTCGAAGGGTAGAGTAGCCATTGTAACTATACTGAGATCTTAGAACTTATATCTCGAGGTGGGTTGCGCATTTACGTTGTAGATGTCTGTGGGCTCCAGTAACCACTTAACACCAGGTGGGCTGTGAGCTCGTCCATCCATCTAAGCAATAAAAAATAAAAAAACCCATAAGGCCTGGATTGTATTAAACAAGCTGGCCTCTGGGCCATATAATGTAAATTTATTTATAATGGAATTGATTGAAAAGTTATTTTTAAGGGTACATGAGTATACAGCAGAATTTCCGAGACTATTTATGGTATCGTAAATTTTTATAATTACAATGGTTTTTTTAAAATAATTAGAACATTTTAATGGAGGCACAGTATATTATTATAAAAGCTGCTATGAGTTAGACATTAATACGGGTTAGAAATAAAGATATATAGTACAATATCTAACTTCAATATTTGTTTGGTTAATACCCGCTAACAAAGACTAAACTAAATTAACGTTCAAGTGGAGCGAGCAGTAGGTGTTTGTGAAATTAGAATTTGCAAACTGCATCGAGTTTATAAGTGATTAAGAGTTAGGTTTACGTTAACTAATGGAATTGCTCCACCGAAGATGAAAATGCGGCTAACAGACATTATAATTGGAAAACATTTATTATGTTTATTAATTAATTTACCGTTGGTAGCGAGTTAAGAAAATACGTTAATTATAATTACAGAGGTAAATGAACAAATTATATTTTGGACGATTAAAGTCGTCGCTTACAATAAACTTATTGCGTTAATTCGCCGCCGAGAAAGTATTGTGAAAATAATGTTCAGGTTTTATTTTATTTTTTATTGCTTGGATGCGTGGACGAGCTCACAGCCCACCTGGTGTTAAGTGGTTACTCAAGCCCATAGACATCTACGACGTAAATGCGCCACCCACCTTGAGAAATCAGTTCTAAGGTCTCAGTATAGTTACAACGGCTACCCCGCCCTTCAAACCGAAACGCATTACTGCTTCACGGCAGAAATAGGCAAGGTGGTGGTACCTACCCGTGCGGACTCACAAGAGGTCCTACCACCAGTGAAGTCGTCGCTTACACTAAATTTATTGCGTTAACTCGCCGCCGAGTTTCGAAAGTATTGTGAAAATAATGTTCAGGTTGTTCCTATCCTCACTGTAACAACACAAAAGCAATTCAGTCTATCTTATTTACAAATATCGCTCATAACGGGATTCGCTACGCAGGTAATCCTCTTATGGAAATGTTCGTCTATGTATTTGGATTCTATGAATTTTAATGTGAATCATCGTCGGGATAAGTCGATTAAGATTCATTCTACATGTGACTTGGTTAAATAACGAAGTCACAGTTAATTAAGTCGGAAATGGATAAAGCTATCTATGTACCTAGAGGCGAAGCGGTGTCAGTTATGTTGACTCACTCTGCTCACTGAACATTTCAGTTCAATCATTCAGTCTGACTGAGCAGGGTTACAAATAATGACAAAGTGTAACTAGATAATATTTGACATTTCTATGAACTATGAGCAATTTTCTTTTTTATTGCAAGGTGGGTGGACGAGCTCACAGCCCACCTGGTGCTAAGCGGTTACTGGAGCCCATAGACATCTACAATATAAATGCGCCACCCAGCTTGAGACATAAGTTCTAAGGTCTCAGTATAGTTAGTTATTATCGTATTATTTTCTTCATACTTTACTCACAGATGTACACGAAGTGGTATTCAATCTTGATGTTTAATTTACAGGATTTCGCAACGCTTTGATGGATTGATAATAACACCCATATATTAAACGGGAATATTGCTTAAATTTGTTTCCCCTCTACGTTGAAGAATAAAATATATTGCAAAAGATTTTCTCACTAAATTAAATAGGAAAAGGCTGTTAAATATTCCAAATTTTGCGAAAAAGAATGTTACAGCTTTATTATTTAGATGTTATTTTTGAGTTATTTGAAAATGTTCTGTTTTTTAAACGAATAATTGACTAGTCATGCTCTGTCTAGACATTAGATACGTACGCATGAATGCCCCTGTGGTTGCATCGGTGACTCGCAACATAATCATTGACTAGCCATGTGTGTGCACAATCATATTGCGCAAAAATAAAACGTATTAAAGTAAACCCAGGGGATTCGTACGTTGTTGTTATCGGTTTACTGATTCCATTTATTGGCGCTGTTGAATTTAGAAATCCAGAAAATAAGAGCTTACTTTCATGTATGTTTTGTTTGGTCGAAGAATAATATACTTTTTATTTATTGGATGCATTATTTCGATGTATTATTTAAAGGCATCAATTTTTGCTGAAAGGAATAATAAAAATAATTAAGAAGCCTTAGATTTTTGACGCCATACATTTCAGTGTGCTTAGTGCTAGTTTTTTAACGTTCCCGATAGCGTAAAAGTTAGCTCATATTTGTATGGATTGGCATCGTTTGTGTACGTTTGCCGCTAGGGGCGCAGTTCCAGCGGCTTGTAGGGGCTGTTGTAGGGGCTTCGCTCTGCCCCTGGCATTGCTGACGTCCATGAGCGACGGTGATTTACCATCAGGTGAGCCGTATGCTCGTCTACCTAAAATGACAATAAAAAAAAAAGCTGCATACAAAATTGGCTTAACTTTTACGCAATGTTAAGAAACTCGCACTAAGCACACTGATTATACATATCAGAGAAATGTATTTGAAGTATTTCTATGATGTGTGTTATTGTTCACAGCTGTATAATTTTTTCAACGCACTGCTCAGCCACATGATGGATACGAATGGGCGGCCCTCCTCCGAGCGTACCTCGAGGACAGCTTCCGTTTGTAAGTCATTTCAGTATGCCATTTCCTCGGAGTAGATTACACCGGAACCGAAATGCTTATGGAGACAGCCTGAACAGCAACATCGCTTAATGAACTGCATACTATTTTCAGAATAAGTTCTGTGTAATTTTGTAAGTCTGTAGCTTAATGTCTTTGTGTTTTAATTACTGAGACGCCCGGTGCATTCGTATCTAGTGCAGTTACTGTGCCCGTGTTGAATTATTTTGGAAGGTTTTAAGTTTATACGTGATCAATAATAATGCCATTTCCTCGGAGTAGATTACATCGGAACCGAAATGCTTATGGAGACAGCCTGAACAGCAACATCGCTTAATGAACTGCATACTATTTTCAGAATAAGTTCTGTGTAATTTTGTAGGTCTGTAGCTTAATGTCTTTGTGTTTTAATTACTGAGATGCCTGGTGCATTCGTATCTAGTGCTGTTACTGTGCCTGTGTTGAATTATTTTGTAAGGTTTTAAGTTTATACGTGATCAATAATAATGCCATTTCCTCGGAGTAGATTACATCGGAACCGAAATGCTTATGGAGACAGCCTGAACAGCAACATCGCTTAATGAACTGCATACTATTTTCAGAATAAGTTCTGTGTAATTTTGTAGGTCTGTAGCTTAATGTCTTTGTGTTTTAATTACTGAGATGCCTGGTGCATTCGTATCTAGTGCTGTTACTGTGCCCGTGTTAAATTATTTTGGAAGGCTTAAACTTTATACGTGATCAATAATACTATAATGCCACAATGACTGAACAAAATGTCATAAAAAAAGGCAAATTTTTAATGGATTTATTGGTGAAATAACAAAACAAATTGTTACATTCGTATAAAACATTAAAGATTGTCAACTAGTTTTCGGACACTAACATGTGAAAGTTTCTCGACGTTTCAAATAAGCCTTTAACAATATCCGAAAGTTTTCCGCTGACAACAGCTGTGAGTTTTCTCTGTAGTCCTTAGTGTATTTGATAACTTATTTCTAGATGTATTTTTATTTAGCTCTTTTTTCAGTTCGTTTTGTAATCGTATTAAAAACAACTAATAGAATTTAGATATTTAGTTTTGCAGAGTGTAGATAGCGACTTTTTATTTATTTATTTTGACGTGACAACGTCATATAATTCGATGGAGCCGGCTGCACGCACGAAAAAACATGACTCATGCGTCGTTATCTCGCTCTGAGGCATTCCATTTAAGGCTTGAAGTGCAAGCGAGAGCGCACAACGAGCGACAAAGAGGCACAATCGGCCTCCGAGTTCGGCAGCATTCGACATCTGTCTCTCTCCTACTTGAGTGAGCGATGCATCCGCGTGGACAGCTGCTATACAATAATACATTTGCATGTTTTCGTCAAGTATTAAGTTCAGTGAAAAGTGAATGTAGTATCAATTGCACATACAAAATATCTATCAAACAAATAAAATTAAAATTTTCTTTTGAAAAATGAAACCATTCTTTCAGTATTTCCTTATGACGTTGTCACGTTCAACTATCGTCAGTAAACCGACGTTACAGACAACCGGTTTTTTTTATTGTTTTATTTATTGCTTAGATGGGTGAATGAGCTCACAGCCCACCTGGTGTTAAGTGGTTACTGGAGCCCATAGACATCTACGACGTAAATGCGCCACCCACCTTGAGATATAAGTTGTAAGGTCTCAAGTATAGTTACAACGGCTGCCTCACCCTTCAAACCGAAACGCATTACTGCTTCACGGCAGAAATAAGCAGGGTGGTGGTAACTACCCGTGCGGACTCACAAGAGGTCCTACCAGCATTAACTTGTTCTCATACTTCTCAATAGGCACGAGCAATGGTAACCACTCATCATTAGATATGCCATAGGCTTAGGCTTTGAACTGAACTGATCGGTTCAGCCAAGATAAGCGAAAGTTTTCATATAATATTTGTACAGAATTTTCCGCCCTGCGTAATTTTGTAAAGTTAATATTACTTTCATGCCTTTTTTGTTTCACCTTTTATTACAATATTATCTTGCTACAATGCAAAGCTCAAATACGTGTCACGACCAACACAGTTCAAGTAACTACACTGCAATGACCTTTGTCAGTCTGTAATGTGAATAAAACTAGGTCTCGGCTATTCTCGGACTAGTGCGACACGAAATCCTCAGATATGTTGCGACGTCGTATAGTTAAGGAATGAGTTCATCATAACGTATATTTCCGACAATAAAATTTACGTTCGAACACATTCATCCCTAGATTGAGAACACAGATATTGCCAGTTTTAGCACAGGGGAGTAATGTTATAGTTAAAGACATTTCTACGATTCTATTCTTATCTGCACATTGTGTCAGCGACCTCACAATCAACGGTAACAATCTTAAAGTTCTGCTTGAATATCTAAAAGTCCTTATTGCACAGAGCTTTAATTATGAAAAATGCGAATGGAGGAGTTAGGAGAAATGTTTACGTACTTTGAAATTTTGTAGTGGAACAAGTTTTTTCCGAAGAGTCTGACGAAGGAGGGGGCGTCGATGAGACCGCTCCCCCGAAGCCTTCACGTGGCCCCGACGTTGAATTCCCGCTACAAAGAAAGGATATCGACCTATTGATTGAGGCATTCAGAAAGAAAAAGGTACGGATTCGTTGTATTTACTTCAGCCTATTTTAAGTGAACCAGAATATTTAAGTAAACTAGAATAGTGTGAAGGATTTACGCTTGTTTAAACGTCTATGTACGGCTAACCATTTTTTTCAGTCGTAACGTTCTAGGAACTCTATTGAGTTCGTATGGCAATCGACATACGTGTGATTCTCGTGTAAACTTTTTATTTGTGGGGCAGATAGATTGAAGCGCCGTATATATCGACCCTTAAGAGTCTTTTGTGCCCAATCCCTGATCTTTTATATATTTTCCAAAAAATAGCGTGAATTTTTGGTTATCGTTATCGATTTTGGAGACAATTTGGTCTCGGGTAAGTTTCGTATGCATGAAATTTTGAATATCGTTATTGGGTATAGATTTTAGAGAAAATTTGTTCTCGGGCATGTATCGTATAGACTTAGTAACATAATGTGCAGGAAGGAGATTGAAAACGTTTGATATTCTAAATTGCTTTTTGTTTTGATATGCCTGAAAATATATTCATCATACCCTTTCTTTACAGCATCGTTTACATCCAAAGCACGTAGCTCAGATACTGAAAGAGGCCACACAAGTATTGAAAAGGTTACCCAATATCAATGTGGCTACCACATCTATATCTAGCCAGATCACTGTTTGCGGAGATCTCCATGGAAAACTAGACGATCTACTCGTCATATTTCACAAGGTTGGTACTAATGGAAAGAGATTTCAAATAAAATTACAAAAAAAAATACCACGTGACACTTATCATTTGAATATTTGAATATCTAATGTCCAAGTCTATATTCGTTGCGACTTTGACTATCGCTATCAAGTGGGATCCTCGCAACCCTCTCGGATCACGATTCGAAGTGTTGAAGCAATTTCTTTCCACATTTATAGATTTACGTTGAAAGGTTTGCCTCTAACTTGATTTTTTGTCAATGGAATCCGAGTCAAAGTATTTTTTTTGCCACATTCGAATAAAATACATCAAGAATCACTACATAGTATAGAACAAAGTCGCTTTCTCTGTCCCTATGTTTGTCTGTCCCTATGTATGCTTAAATCTTTAAAACTACGCAACGGACTTTGATGCTTTTTTTTTAATAGATAAAGTGATTGAAGAGGAACTTTTATATGTATAATAACATCCATTAGATAGTGGAGAAATCAATAATAAATTACAGAGGGTCGCTAGTCAGATCATATTTTGAAAATAATTTTACATCGCAACACCGAACCTTTCAACGAAGAATTAACCTCTCTTGTTGATGAGATTGGTGAATCCATTTATATTTGTCGGAAAATACCCACTTCGCCGTCTCGCGCAAGCCTTGACATATTGACACTAGCTATAATGGGATATTATCTCGAGCTAGTTTGCGTTTCACGTTAATGAGAGAAGGGTGTCTTTTCGTATATCGTATGATATATTTTTTTCCTTTTATATTTCTTTACTAGCTGACCCGGCAGATTTCGTGGTGCCTCAATCGATAAATAAAAAAACCTAAACTTTTGTATAAAATAAACTTAAAACAAAAAAAAAAGGAATCCGTCCGACGGGGAACACATCAAAAGAAAAACAAAATTGTTATTTTTATTTAATTCCGAGCGTTTTCATATTTATCTACCTTTTAAACCTTCTCTGGACTTCCACAAATAATTCAAGACCAAAATTAGCCAAATCAGTCCAGCCGTTCTTGAGTTTTAGCGAGACTAACGAACAGCAATTCATTTTTATGTATATATATAGATAGATAGATTAAGCGTAGATGGGCGGATAAGCTTACGACACGTCCTCAAGTAAGTGGTTACAGGAGTCCACACCTGGATATTACTATGTAAATATTCATGAGTTCGGTCGCATGACTGCTACGTTGAAGAAATAGTTAGGTTGTCGGTACCCATCCCTGTGGACTAATAATAATACGGCTAGTAAATACGCTTAATAAATTGAATGGGCTTGCTTGTATGACGTTATTCCTTTATCATGATAATTAAGGAATGTACTTTTAAATGGTCTGTAACGCGTTTGTTTTTACTATTTTTCAAAATAAAATGTCAGTTAACGTGTTCGATTCCCCTCACATGTCGGTCTGGGGATCGGCGAGGGGGCCTAAGAAGACGACGTGCAAGCTGCTCTGCACGCGTTTTACGCAAGAGCATACGGGTGATGGAAGGCCGGCTATCCTCAACCCACGCTGGTTCTGGCCCAGCGGGGTATTCCGTAGGGTAACCCACTCTAACCGGCGCCATCTAGGCGGACTTCGGACAGTCTGCCGACCGAGAGGGCTGGTGGTCGTGGCGCCGACGACCGCTAGTCCGGCGTCCCGAGGGGGAGGGTGATGGGAGTGATGTGCTCCGCACTAAACGCTTCACCTTCCCCCCTTTGCCTTGTCATGATTTCTGTCTCATGCGAGGTTTGCACGTTGGTTGTTGAGCGACAGGAGGTTTTACTCAGTTCGACTCTGACATACCCCGCCCAGTATCCCCAGAAAAAAGCGGAAGTCTGGCGATTTCCTCCTGACAAAAAAAAACCGTGTTCGATTATTCTTATGAAGCGAAATTAATGATGAATCAACAAGCGAGCGTATTTATTTATGCCATAATTTGCACTCGCTTTCGAGCGTAGGGAAAGAAACTGGGTCAGATAGACTGGGCGTGATTGACACGTTAACGGTCGCAGCGTACACTATATTGTGTTTTTGTTGTTTTTCCGTAATCGATGGTGGTGGTGGGACTACTTACTGGCGGTAGGACCTCTTGTGAGTCCGCACGTGTAGGTACCACCACCACGCCTATTTCTGCCGTGAAGCAGCAATGCGTTTCGGTTCGAAGGGCGGGGTAGCCGTTGTAACTATACTGAGACCTTTTTTTTTCTTTCATAAAAGCTAATAGATACTTTTATTAAATTTCGACGCTATTGACTACTTCGAAATTTAACAAGATGCATAGGTATTTAAATATTTGAATATAATGATTATAATGAGAGGTAAAATAATACATGATAAGGGGGTTTTGAGTAGAACAGTATACTGAGACCTTAGAACTTATATCTCTAGGTGGATGGCGCTTTTACGTTGTAGATGTCTATGGGCTCCAGTGACCACTTAACACCAGGTGGGCTGTGAGTTCATCCACCCATCTAAGCAATAAAAAAAAAACGGTTGTCGGAGGTACTTTAGGTGAAGAGGTCGCGACTGGCGACCATCGCGCTGGGAGCGGCGCACGCGTCATCCAACAATAATTGGTGTCGCCGCGCCGCGTCCACTACGGTTTGATTGATAGACCGCCTGTTACGCCGGACGACCTAGTTAATTTGCAGATATTGTTTTCCTATTTCTATTTGCGTCTTATTGATGAGGGAAAAAAAGGGGGAACTTTCAATATCGTGTCACTTTTATTAATTTATATTAATAGTGCATAAATTGATTATACTGTCTGACTCGTTGGTAGAGTAGGTAGCGCCGATAGTCGTGGGTTTGATTCTCATTTCTGGCAGAGATTCGTGTGATGAACTTAGTTTGTTCTATGAATCTATTTATAGATTAGTACCTGGTTCACACTGCTTATCATTTATTTAATTATTTTAATTATTATGTAATTATCTTATTCAACGTTTATAAGGTATAATAACATAATAATTATAATAAAGGCCTTAGTTCACTTTAATCTTTCGTAATTTTCAATATTTTTTATACCATATCGAGGGGTGAAAGGCTATTTGGTTTAAGCGACATTTTACTTAATACGCGACATTTATCTTTGTAAGGAAAGGTGCGTTTTATTTGATATTAGCATCAACAGTTCGATGTTTTTAATTGAACTTCAATTAAGTTTACTCTATAGAAACACCTAAAGGATATTTTTTGTTGGCATATTTTTTCCAAATTTTAAAATTTTAATGGCTACCCTTATGTAAAGCTGCAAAAATGTCATTTACATCCAATAGTATAGCCTTTCACTTCTAGATATTATGATATCAGTTAGAGCGAAATATGAACGTATAGCTAAATAAAAATATCCTAGCAGTGGGCTAACGATATATTGTACACATATGTATGATTAATTATACAATTAACGATGGATTACGACACTGACCGTGACTTATTGAGGGGATTATGTGTTGTACGTGTGTGTAAGGATAATCATTATGTAACGTTGTTGGGTATCGATTGGCTTTTTTTTTTCACATTGCGTAAGTGGCTCATTGTTGGTAGCGACTGGCGACGCTGCATATGTAAGGATTCACGAAATCAGCCAAGATTGCTTGTAATGCCCTCTGACCTACAGTGAAATGATACCTAAATTATTTCGAGACGTTAATTTTATTTATAGACAGAGACATGATTCTTTCACGTTTTGAATTCGTGTATAATAATAATTATTAGAGTTAATTATGAAAAACTTGTTGCGTGTTCGTTTGGTGTTTGATTAGAGCAGGAAACAGCTTGACTGTGCTCTTTGGTAGGATTTTCGCTTATGAGCATCGGTGACCATCCACTATCAGGTGTACCGTATGTGCCGTATGTTTTTACTGGTGGTAGGACTTCTTGTGAGTCCGCACGGGTAGGTACCACCACCCCGCCTATTTCTGCAGTGAAGCAGTAATGCGTTTCGGTTTGAAGGGTGGGGCAGCCGTTGTAACTATACTGAGACCTTAGAACTTATATCTAAAGGTGGGTATCTCAAATGCGCCATTTACGTTATATATGTCTATGGGCTCCAGTAACCACTTAACACCAGGTGGGCTGTGAGCTTGTCCACCCATATAAGCAATTAAAAAAACCTTTATCTACATATTTGGTTGGGAAGTAATGTAGTCTAAATGATAACACGCCCGGTATATTCTTACTGAGCGAATTTACTATATCGGCATTCAAATTTCGAATACATTATATGTAATCCAAAAGAAATACGCACTCAAGACGTATTTACGAACGATTTTCGCCTATAACGATATTGAAATAAATCAAAATCACAACATTTTTAAAATGCACAACTACTAGTGTTAGGGCGTATTGTAACTCATATGGGTAGGTACCGCCATCATGTCTTATTTTTATCTGTCGCGAAGCATTCGCACGTTCCCGTTTCGGGGGTGGGACCGCCAAGATATAATTGAGATTTAGATCTCGTACCTCAAGCTTGGAGTGGAATTCACGTTCATGTCATATGATGTCTATAAGCTCCGATGATCATTTAGAGAGCCAGGTGAGCCGCAAACACAATATACAACATGTGCAAATTTTAAATGCTGTTGGATGTTATGAATTACAAAAAGGAATTAGTTTGGACAATTGGCGTCGGCCAGGCGGCCGACTATAAAATAAGTGAAGAATAATGAGTAGGTTAGCAATACAAGAAGACGGAGATATAATCTAAAAAAAAGTTGTGACGTTAGTGAGAAATATCTAGAAGTTTTATGAAATGTAAACATATACATAAGTAAAATATTATTTGAAAAAAACTAAAAAAAACATGCTTTAATAGCAATTCGAAGTAAATATGTGTTAAAATAATAGGCCAAATTAATTTAATTATTGTATTGTCACCGATATTTGATATGAGTACAAATATTAATGGTATTCAGACGTTTTAAAGTTGCTTAAAATTTTTGTACTTTAATTCCGATATTTATCAGTTAGTTATAAATTACATAAAAAGGCAGGTAGATACAGATCAAGCTCCTAAAAGTATCTTTAATAAAATGTTTTACTTTTAAAAATTCTAGTACAGAACAATACTTATAGAACAGCACTATGCTTTATTATTAGTAAAGTATAAGGTTCTTTGCGTACAGTAAATACACAGAGCACAATTCTTATATATATATACTTGCATCTAGATGGTTAAGTAAATCAGATAGTATTTGGTAAACGATTGGTTGATTTTGCAGAATGGCCTGCCATCTCCAGAAAATCCATATATATTTAACGGAGACTTTGTGGACAGAGGCAAGAAAGGTCTAGAAGTGTTTCTTCTGCTGTTAGCGTGCATGCTCGCTTTTCCCGGGGGTGTTTTCTTGAATCGCGGGAATCACGAAGATCTCATTATGAATTCGAGGTGAGTCGCTGGCGCACCGAATGCTTTGTTTACCTTTTTTTACCTTATAAAAATGCTAAATAGAATACATTTTTCTTTAGCGAAATGGAATATGTTTATTCTCTTTCTGGTATTGTACAGTTGTCTAAGTGATTACGTTATTTGCAGGTACGGCTTCATCAAAGAAGTTCACATGAAGTACAGGGTATGTTTTTAAATAATAGTCGTATTCATTTCAGTGTATTATAAAGATACCATTATATATTTTGTAAAGATAATATGAAGATACTTTATATTATGTAAGAGTATAATGCGCTCTGTAAAAACAACAATATTTTTGTTTTGATCGACGATGAGGAAGTACTATTGGGTTAAATAATATAAAATTAAGTAGGTGTTGTTAGTTGGTATATTGAGTTTTATGCACCTTCAAATTTCGAGCAACGGTGAAATATATATTTTAGACTAAAATACTCATAGGTACAATTACAGGCAAAACATTATTCACTATGAATTTTATTTCATAATCAAGAATCAATCGGCAATCATTTTTCGACAGGAAATTTGTTTGTAAATGCTTACGATAATTAACAGTGCTCTTTAAAACAGTTTTTTTTTTAAGTTTTCGTAAACCTAATTTCCGAAACAAGATTAATTTAAATGTGGCTTGTCCTTGAAAAAGTATCTTTTTTTTGTCGCTCTGCTTTACTTAATATTTTTGCTTCAGATTTTTACATAAAGCCCGGAGTTTTGTATACTTATAATTTTGACATTGAGTCTACTCGTAATACAATTTATTCTAGATGTGGGTTAGCTTCAAAGTATTCGTATAACTGTAGACATTGAAGTGACATTTCAACGTTCAAAGTTTTGATTGATATTACCGTCATTTTGAATTTAATCAGGATTAGGTACTATTATATTGTAATTCATGTTTAGCATTAAACAATGTTCTACATAACAATAACACATCGAAAGACATTCAAAGAGACAAATAAAAAACTTCAGAGGTGTCAAGGGACACCCGGATGGAACGAAGTTCCTTTCGATTAATTAGTGAAGGAATTGTAATTTTTTTTTTAAGATATAATAATAAATTACGGCTTTATGAAGAAGAAAAAGACAATACTATGAACTAAATTACTATTGTTGAAACGCTATCTCGAGAAACTGTACTCATTACGCGGACCAATCGGATACGAGCAATGTCACGCGATAAGCGCCTACACGTTGACTGGTCAGAATGACGGATCTAAAAAGTGTCGTGACAACTTTTCGTAAGAATTTTTTCCGTCTAGCCCCCTTTCACAACGCGCGATAAGGAATTTCGTTCCAAAAAAAACTGGGATCAAAGTAAATATTAACAACATAAATACCGTCCATGTTGTTGCTGGATTTAGTAAGAAAATGAGAAATGTGACATTTTGGTATTTAAATATGATTTTTCATTGTAATTTTTAGTATTCATAAAAGTCATTAAAATCAGTAACGTGCTCCGTATATACGTAATGGTGAGTGCAATCTAATTTTGAAAGTATTGTTTACGGCAGCAGTACTTAGTAGCAAGCAACACTCGCGAAACATCAATTTATTAATTCAGCCATTAAAACTATGACCGTGTACCTAAATTGTATTGCGCTCCGAAGCGACGTTTTTACAATACAGAACCATTAACTTAATTACAATGGTTTTTGATGTTTTGTTCGCATCAAAGATACTTTTTGAAATTAGTTTGTTTGTATTTATCGAGGTCGACGAGGTTAAAAGTCGATAATTGTAAAGTTTATGTGTTCTTTCGTGTTTATGTTTATAAGAGTGTCATTCAAAATATTTTAATATATAGTTGCGCCTCTTTTGGTGGTGTTTCAAGCGCGCGATACTAATGTAATAGATAAATATGCAAATATTTTATAGCTACATTGTTTGTAACAGAGTATTGAGCAAAATGTAACTGAATTTCAGTTTTGTTGTTCGTCATCTAAATTTAATCGTGATCACCTACAGGTATCTCAAGCTATACATCGGTAATATTATATTAAAATTGAGTGAGCTTCATTATCACAAAGACTGTAAGACCACACGAAATCAGTAATACAATAATCCAATTTGATTACGATAATAGATTCCATAGTTTTTAAAAATGACATGTGTAATCAAGTTATTTGAAGAGGTATAGCGATTTGTTAGATTAAATAAATTGCAGCAGCTAGATAGAGATTGTAGTTCTTATTTAACTTTTCACTGTCACTCCACTCCCTCTAATGGTTTCCAATTTTGTTTTTCGATTCATAAAACTCTGAGTATCGATTAAGTTTTTATATTGACCACTTCGGGGTTTACTAATGAAAATGTACTTTATATTACAGCAAAAACGTTACCGAAGAGCACCAAATTTATTTAAGACCTCCGATTTCTTACTGGACGCTCATAATCTAACTAACTATAGAATGCTAGTTTTTAATTTATTTATTATGATATATGTATTTACGAGTCCTAGTTATTTGGTGTTGTTAGGTCGGCTAACGAGTTTAAGGTCAACCTGGTGGTAAGACGTTACTGGAGTCTGCGCGTATATGATAGCATTAGTGTCACCGCCTGCCTAGACAAAACTTCAGGTTTAATTCTACGAAATAAACAGTGTTGCCAATCCGTGGAGCCAGTACCACAGTAGCTATGATGGATATTAGGAGTAGAGTTCGAATGAATGCTGGCAAAGTAATAGAAGTATCTCGAAGTATTTGTGTTCGTATAGGTACATGTATGTTCTGCTGATATTCGATTTAGAATTGTTTATAAGTATTCAAATTCAAATCCATCTCGGGTTCGAATTCAAAATCGAAAGCACCTATTATAATTATTAAAGCATTTTTTTCCATGATCATCGTTAAAAGGACTTATGATTTAACTCTGTTAAAACTACGAAATATTTGCAGCACAATGCTGAGCGTCTTTTGAAACTGATTGAGTGCGTGTATCGGTGGCTTCCACTCGGGACCATCATAAATAATCGAGTTTTCGTTGTCCACGGAGGCATCTCGGATACTACAGACCTGGATATGATTCGGAGCCTTGAAAGGGATAAGGTAAATTTATTTCATATGAAACTACACTGGTTTTTTTCTTGTAAATTTCCGTAAAACGTAGCTTTGATGCTCACAGAAGATTCAGTTTCTTAAACGCAACCATTGGCTATGAAATTAAGTATCATAATACGTTATTAGCAAGTTGCAATATAGGCTACGTTTATTTTCACGTCTCAATTGTATCTCAAAAATGGCTGTTCGTCTCTTCAAATCGGAACATTAGATTATTCCGCTGCGGAAATAGGCAGGAATGAAATTCTAAAGGAATCAATCATAATGGTACCTACCTCTGAAAGACACTCGTGATAATGATATCACTGGTACGACTGCTCCTGATATTAGTGGTATTGATCCAAGATTGTAATTTTTAAATAATGTTCGTACTTGGATGCAAATGCTAATTTTGAATTTCGTTTCAAATACAATGTTCACTAAAAATTGTTATTTTCGTAAATCCTAAGTATTATTAAGGATTTTGTGCACATTTGAGTAATTTATTCATCCATCTTCATTATCAAGAAACAAAAAGGCAATTATCCTGACCGTGACATTCGAGAATTTCTTAATTTTGTGTACTTTCTGCGTGATCACGGTCTGTTGGCTGAAAAGCATTTATCTGACGTAGCTTATTTAGCCCAATTTAGATTATCCTTACCAAAATTAAATGCGAAAAAGATATTGTTTGTTCGTTACATTTTCACGTCTTAACCCAAACCATTTTCATGAAATTTTGAACAAACGAGTAAGAACCTGGTATCCAGAAAAAAAAGTGCTGTTCTCCAGTGATCTATTTTTACTACATTAAAGTGAATGAATTCATCGCATAAAAGCTAGTCAAGCTTCAACTTGAGGTCTTTTCAGTTTTATTTTATACAGAATGTAAATTTTTGAACGACAAATTGTGACGACGGAGTTAATGGAAAACTTAAGTGTTGAATATTAAGTTCAATAAGCGAATGTTGTTCTAGTACGTGTCGCTTCTGCGGCCGCCGGTGATCGAGGGCTCAACGGCCGCGGAGTCGATAGATAAGGTGGAGTGGAAGCAGGTTAGTGGGCCTCAATCAATCATTAACCATCTAATTCCATTTTATCGATTGGTTCCTAGCTTTAGCCTTTACACACTATAATATTCATTTATCAGTCTTTCAGTTCGCTTATCAGTTCTAGAGATATTTTCATTGAGGTATACTTTAATCGGCAACCGATCAAGTTTCAGGTCGATTTCTGCAATTACTGGAAAATTTAAAGTAATTTATCCGTCTGCTAGTTTCCATCGAGATTCGAACACTAATTCGTTATTGGAATAAACTCGCGCAATTTCCCATGGACCAAACTAAATTAAAGCTTGCTAACTAGCATCGCTTCATCAAACGCTTAATATGATTTGAACTTGCTCGGTGTTCGCGACAAGATAGTTGAGTGGACTAATTGAAGTTGTACCCACTTACTAGTTCAATGTTTCACATTTACGCTCTCTGCATACATTAAACACGTGAACCACATTCATTACAAATTTAACGACATTTGCGAAAGATATATAAGCTTTTAATATGCTTCTTGTAATGAATGATAAAGTTAGGTAATTGTTGGTAGGACGTTTTGTGAGTCCACACGGGTAGGTACCACCACCCGTTTCAGTTTGAAGGGTGGAGCAGCTTTTGTACTGAGTAAAAACGGAGACCTTAGAACTCATATCTCAATGTGGGTGGTGGCATTTACATTGTTGATGTCTATGGTCTTAGCTTATAGGCTAGTCCAACCATCTAAGCAATAAAAAAATGTTTTGGTCTTTTCTCATCTTCGATACCTATTTAAAATATTATATCTGAGTGTTTCTGCAACTTGTACTACTTAGAGATAAAAAAAGTCTCAACAGTAAATTAGTTTTATAATCGTCCCTACCGTATATGTATTTATAATTTACGAATTATAAAATATTAAACATTTGTTTTCTTTCTTTTCGTTTTTTTGAGTAAACCTTATTTTTAGTCCTTTTACTCAATAATCGTTGAGAGGGGTTTCATCTCAGTTATTAGGTACATCATTGATCTTATTTCTTTTGGTTCAAGCAATTTCAGCTAGCATCCTTCGCGTAATACAATTTTCTCGGGTCAGACCCCCACGGAGTGACACAAGATAAACTTAGAAATGTACCAAAGCGGCGCTTTATGAACTTTCTTTCCCAAAGGCGTGGTTTCTTTAACGATTTTTCCTTTCATCTAGACATTTTATCGTTTACTTGTAATGAACATGAGTTTACTAGAAATAAGTTCTAGTGGAATGATTTTATTAGAATTGCCGTTGTAACATAAATCGGTTGCCCTTTTCGCGCAGTGCATTAAATATGATCCTAAATGGATTTTCTATTAACCGGTAACACGACACCGCCGAGTGTTTCTTTTATTATGCATTACGTGGAATCAAAGACATTCATTTGTACACGTCAGACTGTGTCTCTTGTATATTTTGCTTTTTACGGTTGCAAAGATAGTCTTTCTTAGAAGAAAAATGGTTCAAATTAAGAAACAGTGCGTATTAAAACGACATCTCCCAAGTATGTCTAATGTTTTTCGTACTTGAGCATAGTTTATTTATTCATTTTATGTTTGTTTTTGTTTTATGTTTTCTATTTCACTAGTGAAACTGTACTATGCTTTATGCTGCTTTCGTAGTATAGGAAAAAAAACACTGAAACCGCGGAAAGGAAACACGTGCCACTTGTTGTTCGAGACTGGAGACTTTTTTACTGGTGGTAGAACCTCAAGTCAGTCCACACGGGTAGGTACCACCACCCTACCTATTTCTGTCGTGAAGCAGTAATGCGTTTCGGTTTGAAGGGTGGGGCAGCGAGAGAGAGAGAGAGAGAGAGAGGGAGAGAGAGAGAGAGAGAGAGAGGGAGAGAGAAAGAGAGAGGGAGAAGGAGAAGGAGAGAGAGAGAGAGAACCATCAGGTGGACAAGAATCATTTGAAAACGAACTACGCGCGGTGTACCAATCCAGTGAAATACATATACATATATGTACACATACATACATATATCCGTAAATATACATATAATTAATACACAATGTATTATAATATAATAACACTTATAAAAAAAAANATGGTATGGTTGGGAGTTTCTTATTGGGGCTTAACAGAGGTACATTTTTGTGAGAAAGGTGTAAAAACGAATGCAGTTGTGTATCAAAATACAGTCCTGACGAACCTTGTGGAACCTGTTTCTCATACCAAGTTCAATAACAGGCACTGGGTATTCCAACAAGATTCGGCGCCAGCTCATAGAGCGAAGAGCACACAAGTCTGGCTGGCGGCGCGTGAAATCGACTTCATCCGGCACGAAGACTGGCCCTCCTCCAGTCCAGATTTGAATCCGTTAGATTACAAGATATGGCAACACTTGGAGGAAAAGGCGTGCTCAAAGCCTCATCCCAATTTGGAGTCACCCAAGACATCCTTGATTAAGGCAGCCGCCGATATTGACATGGACCACGTTCGTGCTGCGATAGACGCCTGGCCGCGCAGATTGAAGGCCTGTATTCAAAATCACGGAGGTCATTTTCAATAAACTTTAGTGTCATAAGAATCTATGTTTTGTTAAGGTCATTTTGGTATATGAATGGTTACAGAATGTATAAACTTGTTTCAATTATTTTACATTAAACATGTGACAGAATTTATGACCTGACTAGGTACAATTGAAGTAGATACCAATTTCAGAAATCTACCTTATCACATATTAAACTGGTTGACTAATATTTAAAAAATGCTCCTTAATAAGGCGTTTGACCGAATCTAATGTTTTAGCATGTCGTATACGTACCGGGAGAGCATTCCACAAACGAATAGCTTGAACGGTAAAGGAATGATCGTAGAACCTTGTCGAATGCACTGGCATCATTAATTGCATGTTTTCCGTTGATCTCAGGGATATGGTATGTGTATCACGGATAAACTCAAAGCGTATGGAATGGTATTAAAATGCTATAACTGTACACACGCATTACAGTTACAGATTTTTGCAGACAGTCTCTCCGCAATATTTTTTTTCTCAAGTTACGTAAGTCAAGTCGTGACTTAGATAGAACTCAGTAGACATAATAATTAAAACTACCTTTGAGGTTTGATCTCGCGGCTTTTATTGTCACTATATTATTTCCGGCGTTTGGAATACTTACGGTTACAGTTTTTATGGTCATGGGCGACTAAGGTGCTATTCGTCAAAATCTGAATATCGTCCACAATAGTTATGTAGAATTGGGATTGTGGCGTATAAAATAAAACTATTCTACTGTTTTACTTTTATGGTTTTCTTCCCAAATCTTCTCAATTATTATAATCAAAAAATTAACTTACACCTTTTTTTACACCTCGCTCATTATCTCGCTTTCTTACCGTTTCCTCTCATTCACACCTTTACTCTCCGTCCCATATTATTGTCATACGTTCCGTTCTTACCCATCCTATATTTATTCATTGAATATTCAATAAATGTATAATATATACATTGATAATGAAAATAAAAACGCGAGCTTAAACCATGAAAGTAGTTTTAATTTTGTCTACCACTCGCAAAAGTCGATGAAAATACTAGACATTATAACTCTGATACCGCTGCTAGTTTTGAGACCTGAGGTCGATATTGCAAGCGGATTGCAGGAAAACGTGTTCTATGTAGCCAACTAGATCGTAGCCGACAGAAGTAATGGGCATGGCTGTCGGTACAAACTTAATTTTAAACGGAATGTATGACGCCATGGAAGAATACGACGCTTGTTGAATATGATATGAGTTGTAAATAATAAAACGAAGAAAAGTACGTCTTATCCCAGGACTGAATCACGGCACAATTTTTTTATGTCGGCTGTCGGCTTACTTTCAATGATGTCATCACTGTGTACTGAGTACACAGATTCTGATGGTGTTGTCTTGTAATGCTTATTTTTATCTTTTTTCCATGAAATCGTAAAAATTCTAAATTTAAGAATAAAACGTGTATAAAATTTAAATCAAAACAAATTTAGCAAAGAATAAAGATATTAAAATTTAGTGCGGTATGTTTTGTTTTTATTACTGTTGCCGTTGTGCCGTATTTTACTGTGTTTCAATTATAAACTTAAATTTTTGAGTGATCGATAAAGAGAAAAACAAAATGTTCCAATCTTTTGTAGCTCGTGGTGAACCTAATGTTCAGTGGTTAGCGGAACCCATGGACATAACAAAAATACTTGAATTTTATTTTAAAATTTTAAATAAACAGTTTCGAAGTACATAAATTAAATAATTAAGAAAAACTAAACCACAGATACGTGTCATTCTTCCGAGCCAGAACTTTAAATCGTCAGTAAGCTTTGCTAAAATATGGTGAATTACATATAATTTTTAAAGTTATGTAAATTGTATTTTTTTGCGATTATATTCGATTTCTATTTGGAATCATAGAAATAATTAAAACTACTTTTACGTTCGTACAAAAATTGCCTAGTATTTGAAACGTCGAAATTAATATAATTACAATTAAAAAAATAAGATTATATCGTAAAAGTAGTTTTTATTAAGTTAAATAAAATTAAATAGAAAAAAAAAGTTTCACCTTCCATAAGGTTGGTTATTTACAACAAAGTGTAATTATTTATTGTCTATGATGCACGACTTTAAAACACATAATACAAAATAAGTAAATTACATTTAACTAGCATTCATTTGGTATATGTTATTTTTTTTTTTCGACAAATAATATTGAAAATTAACACATTTATTTTTGTCCCGAAGTATTTCATAGAAAGCTTTCAGCCATTTTCTTTCGAATTCCTGTTCGAAATTCAGTGAACTACGACAACAGACAATTATTAAGATGATAGATCTTTTTTTTTGCTTAGATTGGTGGACGAGCTCACAGTCCACCTGGTGTTAAGTGGTTACTGGAGCCCATAGACATCCACAACGTAAATGCGCCACCCACCTTGAGGCATGAATTCTAAGGTCTCAAGTATAGTTACATCATTTTCAATATCTGTCATCTTGTTTAGGTGTTTGATATACTGTGGTCGGATCCACAATGCATCGGAGGATGTGTGGCAAATGCGCTTCGAGGAGCAGGAACCTACTTCGGTCCTGATGTAACAGCGTCGTTCCTCCAGAAGAATAAGCTGAGCTTCATAATTAGAAGTCACGAATGCAAGCCCGGTGGATATGAAATAATGCATGGCGGTAATGTGAGTATTCATTCATGTTATTTCGATGATATTTTTAATTCCCTGACAGAGTCTCTTCTCTGGTTAAAATTTAAATTTATTTAAGTTAAATTCAACTGTTTTAATTTATTTCTTATGTAACTTTCAAATACAAGGTCCGAACAACAACGTTCGGGCCATCGATCTACTGAGTGGGCGTTTTTGCTCTTGTATCTTGTAAATGTCGTTGGCGCGAATAAGGTTTTTGTCGGATTGCTTCTATTCTATAACAGTTCTCGCTACAATATAGTTTACGAATCTATAAATTGCAATGAATATTATTCTTGAATGTTAGATAGTACTGGTTTTGAATTAAAAAAATAATAAGTTTTTTTTTTATTACATGTAACTGTGTCATTGTTACGCCCCAAGCCGGATGTCGTTCAGGGCGGCTGCCCACGATCGTAATATAGCGGAAAGATGCGAACCAGTCCTTTTATGGACAGAGCGTCATATGTGGAAGTATAGGCGAGTCGGTAGTCGCATTTCGGAATCGATAGAACCAGAATACGAAAAAAGAGCGACGCATATGATGCTCGCCGAGGGATTAAAAATCAATTTTAACTTTCCCAATTGAAGCATTCAATATTCGTAAATGAATGAAAAAGCGTGATAATTCTCATATATAAATAAATTAAAAAATAATAGTAAAGAAATCAAATGATAGCTTTAAGTTGTTGGGCTCCCCGTATTTTCTAATCCTAACAAACATTTAGGTACTAACAATTAAAACTACTAACAAGTTTCTAGAAAATTCTAAGAATTTTTATATTCTGAAATGAAAACCTAAAATATAATAATAAAAATAATAATAATAATTTCATGTTAGCGGGTAACAAATGTAGCGATACACTATTGCTATTGACATTTTCGAATCCAGACTGAAACGCAGGGTACAACGCAGTACTATGCGTAACTNCATTTAGGTACTAACAATTAAAACTACTAACAAGTTTCTAGAAAATTCTAAGAATTTTTATATTCTGAAATGAAAACCTAAAATATAATAATAAAAATAATAATAATAATTTCATGTTAGCGGGTAACAAATGTAGCGATACACTATTGCTATTGACATTTTCGAATCCAGACTGAAACGCAGGGTACAACGCAGTACTGTGCGTAACTGTCAGTTGTCAATGCTGTAACCCGCCGTGCGAGATATCGTCCGTAAACTTACGTATCGGTGGAAGCCTCTAACAAACTTTAAACAAACGGTGCTAAAGTCTGCTATAATAGTTTTCACTTATTACGATAATTGATTAAATCACTGACTGATCAATTCATCTAATTCACAATACATACATATATATACAATACATATACAATAGACAGCCGTTTGACGACCAGGACGGCCGTCTTACCAGAAAAAAAACTTTGAGGAGAAACGCTGCTCTGAAACAGAATCTCGAGGCGATGAACTGGAAGCACATCCGCATTCACTATCTCTTACAACTATTATAATGGCGTGCTCACCTCTGTCCGCAATGTGTACGAACGTTTAGGAATAATATCGGTTATGTTAACCACACGCGAGCACACCGTGACAATTACAAAAGGACCGTGGCCGAATTAGGTTAATGAGACTTGTACCCACTGAGTTTCTCGCCGGATCTTCTCAGTGGGTCGCGTTTCCGATCCGGTGGTAGATTCTGCGAAGCACTGCTCTTGCTAGGGTCAGTGTTAGCAACTCTCCGGTTGAGCCCCGCGAGCTCACCTACAAACGTTAGGGCGAAGCTGAAAAAGCCTCTCAAGGCTATCAGCATAGGTAGGAAAAAAAAAAGAGAGTAATGTTAGTATTTATACATAACACATTCAAAATTCTACAAATCACATACATTAATTGAAATAGAAACTGGAATCCTTATTTTTGTAAGGCTCTTAAACTATTAATTTTCAGAAGTTAATTAATTCACTGGAAACATTATTTCGTTCACGCATATTTGTGTTTTAGTTTAGTTGTACCTACTAACCAAAACAATACGACAACAATCAAATTCAGGTGCAGAATTCCATTTGTCAAATTATCCGGCTTTAAAACGTCAAAATACGAACTGTGATTGATTGCTTTAACCCATTATTTATAACACAATAGGCGGAACTGGTACATTTATTAGTTCTTTGTATGTGCTACGTGTAATCGATACACGTGTTTGGATAGAAGAGTAATCCACAATCTCCCGAAAGCTAATGCATTATTTATGTTCGAGTAATATTTCCAATATAGAATACTAGCTTTTGCCCGCGATTTCGTCCGCGTGGAATAGTTACTTTGGCATAACGCTAAATTTTACCCGCGACTTCATTTACAGTACTCACGATTGGAACTTCATTACTGAACCGGTAGATGCCGTTGAAGAAGCTAGATTTTGAGATGTTTTGACAGTGCGTTTCCAAAGATCTTTTTTGCCACGTACCATCCGGATTTGGAATGAACTCCCCTCCACGGTGTTTTTCGAGCGCTATGACATGTCCTTCTTCAAACGAGGCTTGCGGAGAGTTCTTTATGGTAGGCAGCGGCTTGGCTCTGCCCCTGGCATTGCTGACGTCCATGAGCGACGGTGACCACTTACCATCAGGTGGGCCGTATGCTCGTCTGCCTACAAAGGCAATAAAAAAAAAAAAAAACAATTTTTTTATTTTTCGTAAAAAATATTTTTTTTTTCTTAATAAAATGTATCCTATATTACTTCTAATACCTCCAAGAATATGTGTACAAAGTTTCATGATGATCGGTTGAGTAGTTTTCACGTGAAAGCGTAACAGACAAACTTACATTCACATTTATATATTAGTAGGGATTGCTGCTAACACCCGAATTTCTATGGTGATAGTGTTTTTTTAAGTGTTACTTTGCCTAATATCACAGAATATTAGTTTTCGAGCGCATTAGAAATGTTTCAATTGTGAAAATATGTTTCATTGTATCGTTAAGTCTCAATATATTCCGTAAGAACCGTTCAATTGGATTCCGATTAAATTTTAAATGCATTTATATCTTCGTATACTTCGACTGGATCGTGGTATATATGTATCTTCACTTATAGTTTCTTATTCGCAGTTCTTTTTACATTATGTATATGGTTTTTACTGCCAATCCATTCTGATTTGCAAAGCCTTTACTTGCGTGATATAAATAATAACTTAGATGTTTTCGCTCGCTAAAATATGGACGTGTGGAACGTGTAGCTTATAGTGTATACAACTTAACAAAAAACGTTTTAAGGTTAATGTTGAATAATACTGTGTTTTCTACTTTATTGATAAGGGAGTCAGAATATTTCATTGAAAACTCAGAACGGTTCTAAAATATTCGAAGTTTCTTCGTTAAAAAACAGATTAAAAGTACTTCATTTAACTTTCTGTGATCCCTGTTTGAACTTTTAAATTTTAAATTAAAAAGTTACGTTGTTAATTAGTGGATCTTTAGTAGTTTTAACTTACTCTTCAAATAATCCTTTTGAAGATCTATTACTGTAAAAAATAGTTTTCACGTCGTGTACCGTTAAAACAAAAATCAGTTGGCGTGATAAATCTCCATCAGGTAATTACAATTTTCTCGGCGTCGAACTATTACGAGTTGGGTTCCAACAAGGGCGCTTACCTGAAACTATGCGGGAACTCGTTGGAGCGCCAGTTCGTGCAATACACGGCGGCCGTGTCTCGCACGCGGCGTCTCACCTTCAGGCAGCGGGTTGGCCTTGTCGAATCGTCCGCCATGAGGGAGCTACACAATCAGATTATGATGGCCAGGAGATCTCTGGAAGCTACTTTCCGCAGCTTGGACTCGGAGCAAAGTGGTTTGTATGAAGTTTTATTTTATTGTAAGAGATGTGTGTATGTGAGATTTTTAATACGCTTTTTTTAGCTTCAGACGTGTTGTATGTTAGTATGTATGTTTGTAACGGAATCTTTGAACATGATTTTGACCCCCTTCAAAACGTCGGATTAACTCGAAATTTGGTATACTTATTAAGGACCGATGACAGTTCAAATTAAAAAAAATATATTGAAAAAATTTAAATTCAACTAAAAATGAAAAATAAACAATAGTTAAAAAAAACGAACAAAATACACTTTTATAGAAAATCCAACTAAAAAATAGAAAATGAGTTTTAATAAATTTTAATTAAAAATATTCTAAGAATAAATTATTTTATTGTAAAAACAGCGTGGGGTGCATGGTATTAGTAGTTATAAATATTTTATGAACAGATATGAGTAGATGGGTTATTTTGATAATATCCTGAAAAGAATATTTTGTTAGTTTTTTTAAACTATTATTTATTTTATAGCAATGAGCACAAGGCGCGGCTTGATTGACATTTTATTGGTTTTAATACCATAATTTAAACAGAGTTTTCAGCAGCTTTCTTATTTTGATGTTTCGATTTGTCAATACGTGGTTCATGAGCACATTTGTGTATAGAACTAAACAAAAAAAAAACCGAATAGTAATAACTTACCAAAAATATTTTGATTACTTCAAATGCTATATATGTACCTAGTTCTAAAGCAATAGTTCTAAAACATGAAAAATGTTATTATTCTGAATGAATAGCCATTATTTAACAACTTTTCTACGCAACTACCTTAAAAGATAATCTTTTTGCGAGAAAACTGTAGCGAAGCAGAATGAAAGAATTTACGAGTTCACGTATAACTTCAAATAAATCGGGCGCTCTTTGCAAATCAAGTCAATTTATCCATCAGGAAAGTGTATAGCTCCGTAACGATTGCCTATTTATAATGTTCGAATATTTACTATTCCTTGTGTGGAGCTATGAAAGCGTGAGAAGGGTTGACATTGTGTCTCCGGCCTTGTGGAAACGACACTATTAACTCTCCTCTATTACCTCAATACATAGTTTTATGTGTTATTAGGGACCGGGTTCGCTTTGATAAGTATAACGAATTATATTCCCACGCGTCATGCCAAGGGTAAAATAGGTTTAACCGTATTATATATAATGAAATGTGTAGGTATGAAACGAATAGTTTTACTAATGGTAGGACGTCTTGTGAGTCCACAAGGGTCAGTACCACCATCCTGCTCATTTGTGCAGTGAAGCAGTAACGCATTTCGGCTTATAAGACGGGGCAGCCGTTGTACTGTACATCTGAGAATTAGAAATCTTGGCTCAAGGTGACGTCTATGGGCTCTGGTAGCCATTTAGCATCAGGTCGACTGTGAGCTCGTTCAGCCATTTATACGATAAAAAAGTTTAATATTCATTTTATGTCATGTATATTATACTTCGTGCTTAAATCGTGATAAAAGAGGTCTGGATTGTAGATAGATAGTTATTTCCAAAGTTATTGGACAAAATAAATCTAAAGGCAGAATGAGACGTGTTCAAGAAGCCGTATATTTATCTTTTAAATCTCGTCCACTGTAAAGATTGAAAGCAAGTGGTTTCCAAGTAAACGAAAATATGTATCTTATTTTCTTTTTTAATGACGTATCTTATTTTCTTTCCGAATAATGTAATTTTATCAAGATCGTACTGAGAAAGTAAGCACCAATTGAACACTTTGTGTCAACAATCTTATACTCTCTCATTAAATTTGAAATCAGTGGCTCCCAAAGTGTAGTACTAGTATATACCAACTTATGGGGGTCAATAAGAGTTTGAATTGTAAAATAAATTCAATTTAATTCAAAGATAAAGGTAATAATAGGTGCATTCTAATAAAAAGTAATACCCGAACTTTAAAAATATATTGTAATGATGAACTTTAATGATATGTATTTAATTTAACAATTTTTTTACGGGGTCGAATAAAGACAATTTTATATGGTTTAAATTGTGCTAGTACTTTTGATTTTATCTAAGTTTCATTATTTTTCTTTTCTTCTCTTAAATACCTACGTGTGTTTCGCGGTTCCAGCCACATTTAATTTGACTCATCTATCGTATTAGTATAGAAATTATATACTATCCATTATATTATCCCATACCATCTTTGGGAGAAACGACAAATTTAAAAACATCAAAACAAACAGACAAACACAAAATAATATTAGAGAATTCACCTTATACGATATTTTCTTGAGGTCAGAGGATGGCAATAAAAATTGTAATTACTGTTGTTAGAGTGCGCGTAGGTCTAGGCATTGTGCCTCTTTCTACTATATAACATTACGTATCTTAAGCAATAATAATAGTCAATTTATTGGCGTCGGTCAAACGATCTCACGGTCTGCCTGCTATGAAGCGCTTACCCAAAAGCATCACAATATTAATGCTGCCAGTCAACTATTAGAGGCATGAAGGTTGAAGCCCCAATTTCACAGGTTTAACGACTTTCTCACCCTTCAAAGCTCCTACCCTAGAGCTATCGTTCTAATTTCAAATTGAGAGATATTTTAAAAACCGATCTTTGTACGTAAATTGAAAGTATTCGAGAATTTCAGATTTCGTGAAATTTTGATGTTTTATCCAGTGGATAGGTTCTTTGATCTTTGATATAATTTGACAATCTGTTCAGGCATTTCGTATTGAGTTTGACAAAGATTTGTTAAATCTCTCGATTTGATTGATTCGTATTTTATTTATTTCCAATAGTTCTCAATTTACTTTGAAAATAGGTTTCATATCTATAAGCGATTGGTGTCAAGCCATGGAGGAGACAACACACCTCGGTCTTCCGTGGAGGATGCTTAAAGACAAGCTTGNTATAATTTGACAATCTGTTCAGGCATTTCGTATTGAGTTTGACAAAGATTTGTTAAATCTCTCGATTTGATTGATTCGTATTTTATTTATTTCCAATAGTTCTCAATTTACTTTGAAAATAGGTTTCATATCTATAAGCGATTGGTGTCAAGCCATGGAGGAGACAACACACCTCGGTCTTCCGTGGAGGATGCTTAAAGACAAGCTTGTTCGCACCGATCCCGAGACACGCAAAGTACGTTACATGGATACATTCGAACTCAACACCAATGTAAGTATTATCACGTTTTGTAACTTTTATAGAATTAATGGTAATGCTGTTCATTAGGTCTGAGAGGTTTGATAAATATTTTACTGGTGGTAGGACCTCTTGTGAGTCCGCGCGGGTGGGTACCATCGCTCTGCCTATTTCTGCCGTGAAGTAGTAATGCGTTTCGGTTTGAAGGGTGGGGCAGCCGTTGTAACTATACTTAAGATCTTAGAACTTATATCTCAAGGTGGGTGGCGCATTTACGTTGTGAATGTCTATGGGCTCCAGTAACCACTTAACACCAGGTGGGCTGTGAGCTCGTCCACCCATCTAAGCATTAAAAAAAAAATATATTTTTAGACGATAGTTTAAAATACAAATTCTTGGCAAAAAACATATCTACCTTTTTTTTTTTTCTTTTTTCTAGTACATGAAACATTTATTATGGCAGCGTGCGTATGTTTTATATTAGATTAATTTAATAGAATTTTAAATAAATGAAACTCAGTCGAAATGATATCTATGAACCCTGATTTAATCATTAAAATATTGTCTAGAATATTCTAGAAACTTTGCTTAAATTATAAATAATAACTGTATAAAGTCTCAAGTCTGCATTTTAGACCACGTTTAGTACCACGTGGGCTCATGTACTGTCAGAAAGAGAAAATATAAAAATAAATATTTGATTTTAATTGTGAGATTTTCAAAACACACAATTCGCAAATCTTACTTTATCTCACAGAAAAGTTTCAGCGCCTTAAAATTTTCTTTTGTCATCAACGATGCAGACAAATTTAAAAGTAAAGTCTCGTTTTGAATGGCAATAAATTACTGTAATGTTTGAACTTTCGTTGACTAATGTGTTTGTCGGTGACTTTTGTTTCAGAGGAACGGACGAAAATCTGACACGCTGACAGTCGTCGAGACTTTGTATAAAAATCAAAGAAGCTTGGAGGCGATCTTTAAGATATTGGATAAAGATAATTCTGGTGCGTACGAAATATTTTACGAGTTTCATATTTTGAATTTGAAATCGAAACATTTTTTTTTAAATTTTTTTTATTGCCTTTGTAGGCAGCATATGGCCCACCTGATGGTAAGTGGTCACCATCGCTCATGGACGTCAGCAATGCCAGGGGCAGAGCCAAGCTTACCATAAACAGATATTATAGCGCATCGATGTCTTGATGTGTGTAGTAAAATTAAACTAAATTATTAATGAATACAATGATAATGCACAAATACTCACAATATTTAGGGACAACCTGGCAAGCCAAGCCGCTGCTTACCATAAACAGATATTATAGCGCATCGATGTCTTGATGTGTGTAGTAAAATTAAACTAAATTATTAATGAATACAATGATAATGCACAAATACTCACAATATTTAGGGACATTTTTTTTTTTACTTAACCACATATTAATTTAATATCAAATAATGCGTGAAGCTATGTTTTATAGTATATTCTTTAATAATATTCTAGTTAATAGGTACAATCTATGTCTATACGACTATATGTTTATGCTGAAAAATCTCTGCAGTGTAAGATTTATTTCCTAATTTAAAATGTGTTTATAATGAAATAACAAAAACGTGAGTTACCGTTATTTCTCCTTTTCTTTTTATCTCGCTGGGTAAATCGCACAGAATGTTGTCGATTCGCTTTGATTTTGTTTTACGATTGTACTTTGTAGGGCTTAAACTGGCAACCTAAGAAATTAATTTAATGCTAGGATTGAAATTATAAAATTGTAGTACTATGGATGCGCGATGATGCAATAGGATGTAATAGTAGATTTGATGGTCCCCGATCGCATACCAGTGTGCTTAGTGCGAGTTTTTTAACTTTCTCTATAGCGTAAAAGTTAATCCATTGCATGCTTTGTATGCAGTTGGAGCAGCGCCCCTAGCGGCAAACGTAGGAACACGATCCCATTCCATACAAATATGAGCTAACTTTTACGCTATCGAGAACGTTAAAAAACTCGCACTAAGCACACGGTTTGATAAACTATTATGATGCCGGTTAGGGTGTTTTGGACATGTAATGCGTAAGGAGAAGATGCATGTGACTAAGAGATGTATGGCTATGGTAGTGAAAGGTAGAGGGGAAAAGGTCGACCGAAGAACACATGGATGGAGTGTGTGAATGACGATATCAGAAAGAGGAGTGAGTGTTGAGTTGACATGACAGCTGATAGAAGATAATGGGAGAGAAAAATTAGCTGCGCCGACTCCACCTAGTGGGATAAGGTGGAGAAAAAGAAGGGAGAGAAACTATTATCATGCAATATCTTCTATCATGTTTTTTTTTTTTCTAATCTTACACTCGTGTCATAAGTAATCCGTCTTTAACACAAGATGCGACGTAATTTCTATAAAAAGTGACATCAAGTCCATTGAAATTGAGGCTGATTGATGTCGTAGCCGAAAGTTTATTTGGGTCGTTCAAAGAAAGGAATCGATCGTGTTTTACTGATTTTACTGGATGTGTTTGTCTAAAGCCAAAAAGTTGTACAAATGCGTAATAATAAAATAATAGGATAAAAGATAATGTTTTAAGCTGACATCTCTTGTGCGCGTTGGGAAATATTTGTACTAAATGACCGAGAGGAAGGCTATGTATTTACATAGCCTTCCTCTCGGAAGTCGTCGTGGCCTACCGGATAAGACGTCCGGTGCATTCGTGTTGAGCGATGCACCGGGCGTTCGAATCCCGCAGGCGGGTATTAAATTGACTTCCACGGTGAAGGAATAACATCGTGTAATAAAAATCAAACCCGCAATATTATAATTTGCGTAATTACTGGTGGTAGGACCTTTGTGACTCTTGTGAGTCCGCGCGGGTGGGTACCACCACCTTGCCTATTTCTGTCGTGAAGCAGTAATGCGTTTCGGTTTGAAGGATGGGGCAGCCGTTGTAACTTACTTGAGACCTTAGAACTTATATCTCAAGGTGGGTGGCGCATTTACGTTGTGGATGTCTATGGGCTCCAGCAACCAGTTAACACCAGGTGGGCTGTGAACTCGTCCACCCATCTAAGCAATAAAAAATAAAAAAATGTATATCACGAAAATTCCACACCGTCGTCTATTGGTGGTAGTCGTCGTTAAAAGGTTAATTATTCACAAGCGAACAGTGGTCTTAGTATGTTTTGTAATGCACTACCACAGAAAAAATACTCAGCTAATCTGTGTAGGTCACTTCATGAAATCACCAGCAATTTTTTAAGACAAATCAGGCACAACCGTCAAACTGTTTATACGGCATTGTTATGTGTCTTGTTACGGATTAATTAGTTACCGGATTCTCCAACAAAAATAATTTCAACAAAAAAAAAAAAAGTTATAGTCTACATTTATTTTAAATTGGTATCCAAAACTCTGATTACGATGTATTTATCGTAGATATTATATACATTTACGAATTAAAAAATCACAATTACACAGGTTACATAACGTTGGAAGAGTTTTCCGAGGCTTGCCAGCTGATCGGCAAGTACATGCCGAATCCGATGACGCAGGAGCAGCTCGTCGACATCTGTCGGCTCATGGACATCAACAAGGACGGCCTGGTTGATCTCAACGAGTTCCTCGAGAGTTTCCGTCTCGCCGAAAAGAGTTTACACGAGCAGGAAAGGATGTACGAAGACATGCAGGCTACCTGACAAGAACTGGACCGCCGACCCAGCAGGACGGCGGTCGATAGAAACGAAACCGGCGTCGAAATAGAGATCCTCAAACTGGACAACGAAGAACAAGGAAACGCTCGCGGTGAGATCAATGATTTTAAACTAATAGATTGCGAGGACACGCCGAAGCGACCAGCGGGCCTGTTGGAAAGTGATATTTAAAATTTATCCATAACTCACTGCCGGTATTCTTAATTTAATTTGTAAGGCTTCACGTTTGACTCACTTAACGCTCCCATAGATTAGATGTGTATTGCGGCACGTTACATTGGTAAGTACGTGTCCATTGCTCTTTTCGTATTCAATGCTTAGGTCGCATTTTAAAATATCTTAATCGAATTATCTTCAAGAAAAAAAAATTTTAAAAAATGTCTATATTTATAAAAGTAGTCAAACATGATACTTAACTGAGCGTTTTAACGTATGTAGGTTTAAAACTTTATGAATATGAATTTTATTATTGGAATTATTCTTCGAAATTCGTAATTTTTTATGTATTTAGTGGGAATAGTGATTAAACTAAAATTTTATTGGTTCTTAAATTGGTGCCAAGTAAAATGAATATAAAGTAGATATTTGAAACTTATAAAATAAATAAAAATATATAATCCAAAATATTCTATTTCTCTACTTTATTCAGTGTAGTGCAATGATATATCTAAAATAATATTGTAGTGACATTTGAGAAGATCAATTAATAAATGGGAACAATGACACTAATGTCTTATACAACTCTTCAATATTCATATTCCAATTTTGCTAAATTAAATCTATCAGTAGATTCTTATTCTTAATAAAAAATATAATGGTAATTAAAAAAAAACCTTAGAAAATTTTATCTAGTCATTTTACCAGAGCTATTTCGCATACATATCTTCTTAATCAATTATAATTAATGCATTCCAATTTATTGCAGCAACGCATTCGATGTATGCTTAGAGAATATCTATTCATTATATATTCTATGTAATTTTACTAGTTCTTACAAATCGCTGTTAACATATTAATGGCCAACAATCTGTAGTGCAATTCTTTCTACAATACAGTTTTATATTGATTCTTGATATAGCTACTGACTTATTGTTTAATTTTAAATTATTTGAGTCTGTTAGTATTATTAAGGCTAATATTATATTTATTTGTGTTCAGAATGATTGAGTGGATTGATGATGTCTTTCATATCTAAGGGGCGATTTTCAGTCTTTAGTTTAAATGCTCACACGTTTAAAAAGCCAAGAGTAACACAGCCACAGAATGCTTAAAAAAATTTGAACTTCCAAGTCAATGGATTATGACTATCTGTGGATTTTTAGAGAATTTTGAGATGAGGATCTAGCTAAATTAACATTGAAGTTTGATCTTGCAGATGAATAATGTATATTTTAACTATTATTTCGTAATGTATATTGATTTTTTAATAAAATATCAGTGTATTTATATATTATTTTAGTGATATTCTATTATCTATTTTAAATTATAATGGTGGACTTATCAAATATTTTAGGCTGTCGTCAGTAAGCCGCCTGCTAAAATATAATAATAAAACATTGACATATACAAACAACAATCAAAATCATTATAACTTCATAACAACAACACAACTTCAAACACCAAAAATTCCAAGGCACAAAGAAAGAAACAGGAAACAAAGAAACATACATTTATAGGTTTCACTTTGTTACACAATGTTGTTCCTTCATAGCGGAAGTCGTTTGCGCGCTATTATTAAGAAAAATATATGGAAATAATTTCACTGGTGGTAGGACCTCTTGTGAGTCCGCGCGGGTGGGTACCACCGCCCTGCCTATTTCTGCCGTGAAGCAGTAATGCGTTTCGGTTTGAAGTGTGGGGTAGCCATTGTAACTAAAACATGAGACCTTAGAACTTATAACTCAAGGTGGGTGGCGCATTTACGTTGTAGATGTCTATGAGCTCCAGTAACCACTTAACACCAGGTGGGCTGTGAGCTCGTCCACTCATCTAAGCAAAAAAAATAATAATGATTTACTAGTTTGTTGTTTATTTGGTGCTGTCAATAAGTGACCTTCCCGCCTTCGATCAGCTAGACGAACTAACATACGAATCTGAAATGCGTTGATGCGTGAAATGTGATTAGTTTAACTGAAGATTGAAAACATGTCTTAGCCAATTGAAAGGTTTCCTATTTTTGTTTTAGTTTAAGTCAGTAACTTGTATTTTATTTCTTGTTATATTATATGTCTGTCCATTAAAATGTGATATTGGAATTATTGTTTAATTTCATTTAGAACTAGTCGAACTATGATTGCGCTGTGATCCGATCGATATCAATGTTTACAGGAACACTGTTGAAGAGCTAACGTAACCTACTCGCACGAAATGATACATGCTGGCAATTAATAAGCGTTTTGTTTTTAATAACATGTCTGCCATTAACATTCTATTGTATCGATTTTCATATGAAAGTAATGTCTCATAAAATTATAATGGTTGAATGTAAATAAAACAATAATATTATCTTACATACTATTTTAAATCATATTAAACATCTACGTGGCTGATCTAAAGATTTCATGAAAATTTTATCGAAATCGCTTCAGACGTTTCGCAGCTTTTAGGGAACATACATATACACATCGACATTTAAATGTATAGATAAAGTATACGTTTTGAACATTTAAGCATTAGATAAAAAATTAAGTACCATTACCAGGCACAAGTAAACATTTAAGTATATAGTGGACGACAGTGGGCTGATAATAATATAATAATAACCAGGCACAAGTAAACATGTGAGTCCGCACGGGTAGGTACCACCACCCTGCCTATTTCTGCCGTGAAGCAGTAATGCGTTTCGGTTTGAAGGGTGGGGCAGCCTTTATAACTATACTGAGACCTTAGAACTTATATCTCAAGGTAGGTGGCGCATTTACGTTGTAGATGTCTATGGGCTCCAGTAACCACTTAACACCAGGTGGGCTGTGAGCTCGTCCACACATCTAAGCAATAAAAAAAACAACATTTAAATACCATTTTCTATTCTGTTTGTTATCGTTTTTGTTAGAACAAAAGAAATATGTGATTCGCAGAATGAATTTAATTCTTGACATTGTTATTTATGGTCGAATTCCGGACATTAGACGAATATTAGTATACATATCACAACGTGAGCCTTGCGAGAAGAGTTCGAAGTCTCAATTGGAATATGTAGTCTATAGCGGCTTACAATTTAAATCAGTATAGGTATATTGCTACTTCACGACCGAAATAGGTAGGTAGGGTGGTGGTACGTTCCCGTGCGGGCTTATATTACGCCCTTATCACTAATTAATGTCGACCCTTTGCTGAAATAATACTTTAAGAACGGCGCTAAGCATTTTCTGGCTGTGAATTCCTTAGTCGCCTTTTACTACACTCACGCTATTATGCTGGTCTAGGCAGATAACAAACAGTCACACGGCCTTTACAAGAAAAAAGTCAAAACAAAAATAGAGTTAGTTCTTCGGTTCTTAGATTTTGAATCGGCACGCTGCCAACATTTTCATCGCATATTTTTAAACTACAATACTCGGTTCGTGAAATATATGACGCCCGAGTTGATTGCCCGAGTTACGATTTTACTTTTCAAATAAACTTTGTAAGCAGTGTATAAGATAATTGCTTTATATAAAACGAGAATGAGCACATACATCACTATTAATACAGTCATATTTATTATGACATAAAAGGTGAGCTCCCTTTACATTGGCAGATTGTGTTATTTTTTATCTTTAACACACATCGCAGCGAAGTAAAATAATAAAATATACAAACCAATACAAAAACATAAAGCGCGGATTATTTATTTATTTTCCTGGATAGAAGAACAAATTGCTCACCTCATGATCATAATGAGTAAATACCAATTTTCATAATCGTAAATAATGTCGGATACGATCGTGTAATAAAAATCAAACCCGCAAAATTATAATTTGCGTAATTACTGGTGGTAGGACCTCTTGTGAGTCCGCGCGGGTAGGTACCACCGCCCTGCTTATTTCTGCCGTGAAGCAGTAATGCGTTTCGGTTTGAAGGGTGGAGCAGCCGCTGTAACTATACTTGAGACCTTGAACTTTATCTCAAGGTGGGTGGCGCATTTACGTTGTAGATGTCTATGGGCTCCAGTAACCACTTAACACCAGGTGGGCTGTGAGCTCGTCCACCCATCGAAGCAATAAAAAAAAAATACTTCGCTGAGTCGCTATCTTTCACTTAGGAGTCTTTGTACAAAAGGGGTACACAAATAGCGCTCGGGAAACAAATCGACAAACAAGACAAAATTTTCGCGTCGCGAATAAGGTCTGATATAATATGTACATGGATCAGCATACCTGTTCCAGTATGAGCGTGATGTCCTCTGGTGGTCGATTATGCGATAGTAATAGAGAGAAATTTCATCACAAACAATAAATTCGTCAGAGCAATCATATGATCACACTATATTGATTTTACGTATGTGATCTCACTGTACAAACACAATTTTATTCTGTTCCATTTTTATTATATAAAATTAATATTTAATATGCGACACTGATAATCCAAGATATAGTAGGTACCAACGTTCTGTTCTATGGGTAATGTAGAAGCTCTGTCTCTGAGTAGGTGTTTGTAAAGGTGACTAGAAAAATAATAGAAAGATGGAAAGTGGAGGTCAAGAAGCCGCCAAAGGAAGTACTTACTTGAATGAAAAATATATTCAATACTATAGATGTCTGGATAATAAAATTTGGGCATAGTATTGTAGACAGCGAGCATACGGCCCGCCAGATGGTGAGTGGTTACCGTCGCCAATGTACTTCAGCAATACCAGAGGCAGAGCCAAGCCGCTGCCTACCATTAAGTACTCTCTACAAGCCTCGTTTGAAGAAGGACATGTCATAGCGCTCGGGAAACACCGTGGAGGGGAGCTCATTCCACAGCCGGATGGTACGTGAAAAAAATTTCTCTGGTAACGCACTGTGGATGAACGAAGTGGCTCCAGGTAATATGGATGAAATCTACTCCGGTGGCGGGCGGGGCGATGGTATAAACGAGATGAGTATAAATGAGATGATTGGATCATCTCAAATATTTTTTCAGAGCACTGCCCATGGTACATACAGTAAAAACACCAAGAGAACCGAAGTCTCTCCGTGTAGAGATATACGACAAAGGAAAGATCTTCCACCGAGTGGGTGATATTGTTCGGTGGACCGACGGTCCGAATGTTGTTGTTCGGAACTTGTATATATGTGAGCTTATCTTGAAAATGTCGTAAGCGAGATTCAGGCATCTGTCAATTATCTTGCGTTGTATGATGGTTATCCGCCACACTCCGCAGAACCAGATGTTCCAAAGGATCCGTGAGAACGGGATTATCGACAATCCGAACGGCCCTCTCCTGTATGGAG